AGAGTCCATGACGTTCTTCATGCAATATCCTATTATCCAAGACATTGGAGAAGGCGCCTGCGTGAGTCGTGTCGCCACTAGCGACATCGACATGCGTCCCGTCGCCACGTGGGTATCGCTCTCCCGGTCAAGTCACGGCACGCAGCGACCAGACATCCCCATCATATTCATTGCATGTGTCCATGAAGAGGTCCCGCGGATATTACAAGTTAATGCTAGCAATGGAAATTGGGGGCTAGAGCTGATGAGCCGACGCCCCCCACGAGTATTTCTGGCATTGCATGTCTTCTTGGCAGATTGGAATGCCGTCTGGAACCTAGTTTGTCGAGACCTGAATGTTAGGGATTCCCAAGTTTACGGCGAAATAAACGGCACATCAGTGCTCGAGAAAACCAGAGCATTACATCGGGATCTGTCGAATCTTATCGGTCTGAGGGAAGATCTTCGGCTTCATGTCGCCGCCTGCCAAAAGATGTGCACGCTACAAGAACAAGGATTGCAGTCCCTTTGCAAGCCAGCAAATCCTGATACAGACAAGAAGGAGTTTCAACGGTTTCAGAACCAGACAGAAGAGCTCCTACAGAAACTACAACACCAGCAGGACAGCTCTGCCGTCATACAGCGGCAGTTTGAAAATCTGCTTAGTCTGGTACGTCCTCCCTTTCGATTTAGAGGCCCGACACAGCCCACAGCGACTAATTCTCGTTCAGACCTTCAACACCGAGATGGTTCGTCAGGGTCAAGCAGTCACTCGGCTCAATTACCTTGCAATTGCGTTTTTGCCGCTGTCCTTTGTAGCTGTGAGTATATGCACAGAACAATCCAGAGATGCAATGATGTTGATATTCACGGCGCCAGACCCTCTTCGGGATGACCAAGTTCTCTATATCTGCGGCCTGGTATCCGCTCTGGGCCACTGTTGCTCTCGCGTTTGTGGTTGCCGGATTCCTACTCACGAATCGACCGTCGCCCCTAGAAAAACGATTCCCGAGGACGGTACCCCTGCCAAGGGTATCCTTACCAAGGCTGTCTTTTCCACCATTCGCGGGTCGTACCACATGGAGGAAACAAAAGTTTACCAGTCCAGCTGACATTCTGGAAACTGGAAGTGTTCATCAATCACGACCGGTGGTAATACTAAAAAATGCATTTGAAAGAAGTTCGGACCGGTACACACATCCTGTTTCCGAACCGCTTATATCCTCAATCGCACAGCCGCAGCCCGATGCTTATTCAGTGAGGAGAGCACTGGAAATTTACTCGCGAAGCCATTGAGAAGTGTACCTTATGTGTCTTTCGAGGTCTGGTTTCTGAGGCCGCATGGATTACACGTCGTAAATCTAAACATCCATTCTTATTTGGTATACTTTCGAGCTGACGTCCTGATTCTGCCACGACTTACTCGCTGGGTCTCTCAAACGTTGAACATCAGACTAGCCTTTGGGTTTGTCGTGTGCGAATATGGGCGGAATAGCTTGACAGTGTTTGTAAAATGGCTCATTATACCCTGGACTGAACAATCGTGTAAACCCGTCAGTTGAGAACTTCAAATTGCTGTCATATACTTTTCAGCACATACAAGCTGCTATGCAACATTGTTGAAAAAGAGGTGCTTCGCCTCTTGAGCACAGAGAAAATGGAGGCCTTCAAATAAAAAAGCTGCTTGGTCGTGGCTTGATTTAGACCAACTGGTCGAAAGTCGTTAATTTTGACTCTATGTTCAAATGTTGCGACGGAATTCGGTGAGCAAATTTGATTAAAAGCTAGCCACGACAATCTTGGCGTTACGAGTGTGTACCAAGGAGTTGCATGATATACTTCTGTTTCCACACCCTTCCGTTCCGCACCTAACTAACTCAAAATTCGCTCACGACATTTCGTACTCTGGAGACTGTGTTTTCCTAAGACTAGAATCGTCACGTATGCGAAATGACTGTGGATTCTAGATGGGTAGCGATGGCGTTCGAGACTTCAACACGCCAGGTATCTTGGTCCAATACTGCGAGGTCGATCGGACCAGTGGCGGACATCAAGCTCTGTTGTTGTCGGTGACAGATCAGCGACTTTTGCGATGGAGGTGAAAGCGAGAAGACGGTCGCCGTAATAAATTAATTCGGTGAGATTATACGTTGCGTGACGCGATACTACTCCGAGAGGCATATAGAAGCCGGTAGCTGGACATTGGCAATGCTTAGCAATTTGTCCTTCATATGGCAGGGTCTCCTGGACGAATAATTTGACGAACTCGAAAGCGAAAAGTGGTTTATAGTAGCACAAGGAGCCTTGTAGTGGGAGTATGGAGTAGGCTAAAGTAATTGCTCGAAGAGGCCCGCTCTTAAGATAACGAGACACCGTCTAGAGATGAGATCCAACAAATCGAAACAGGTGTCCAACTTGTGCCAACTAAGCCCTAGTATAGAGATACAAAGAACCCAGGAGGAATGTTGGACGAAGGGAAGGTTGGTATGTCGTGCAGATGTTCGCCTCGACCCCTGACTAGTGCCGAACCGGCACGCGGCCACCCCCACATTTTCGCAGCATCTGGACATGATTATTATGTTTCCACAACAGGGGCCTGAGATCGACCTTGTGTAAAAAGACATCCTAAGCCTCTCATTCGGTATGTTTCTCTAGCTCAGGATTCGAAGAAGCAGGTAGTGAGTTTGGCGATATCAGACCAATTGGATGTGAAGGAGTTGCAACTTGCCCAAAGTTCCTGGCTACATGAGATCACTTGGGGCCAACAATATTTCAAAAGTCATCGATACGCTCGGTAATATCACCGAAAACATCACTGACTGTTTTCTCAAAACGCAGGATCTCTAATTCTCTACAAATCGAACACTGATGTTCTTTGTGATCCGAGTAACCTTGGATCGTCCCTAAGAACCAATGAAGCGTGAGTGGGTCGAACTTACCGCCACCCCCACAGCTGCCCCTCTTTCTCGGCCGCCTAGCCGCCCAAGAGCACATTCGTGCAGTAAAATCACTTGTTTCGCTACTCGCGGCACCCACTACTAAGCTTCGCTTAGTAGTGGTACGGTACCGGGCTCAATGCAAACACCAGGCTCAGTGCAACTTTTGCCAATACTTTTCAAATAACCTCAATTATCTCCATAACCATGACTAACAACTACTAAAAAAAGGAGGCTAGGATTAAGATCGCTATCCAGCATCTCTCTACAAAAACCTCATACAATTTGGCCGAGGTGGCGCGGATGTACAATGTTAATTACCACAAGCTGCGCCAACGCGTCGCAGGCCGTGGATCAAAAACCACGCGCCTACCCACCAACCAGCAATTAAATCCTGCTCAATTAAAGGCGCTTGAGCTGTACATTAATCGCCTTAATCAACTTAGCCAACCTCCATTAATATCAATATAGCGCGCTGCTGCTGAGTCAATTCGCCGTTCAACCACTCCGCCTAAGGAATACGCGCGCCTGCAGCCACTTGGCCGCGACTTCTTTAAACGCTATCTACGAGCCAACCCACGCGTCAAAAAGGTGCAACAAAAGCCTCAAGAGCCTAAGAGGCTAGGTGCGCCGCAGAGAGATATCCTGCTCAAGCACTTTAACAACCTACGTGCAGTTATAGCTAGCAAGAGCATACAGAGCACTAATATCTAGAACTTTAACAAAGTCAGCTTTAGGATAGGGATTAGAGGCGCGCAGGACGTCGTAACGCTGCAGAGCTTCAAAGTAGCTAAATCACCTTTAGAGACAAATCGCGATTTTATTAGCATAGAAGAGGCCATTAACGCTGCTAGCAATACAATTCTGCCTCTATGCATCCTTAAAGGCACTGCAATCCTACACCACCACGTCTCTACAGCGCTCAACCTCAACACCTCAATGCTGCTTAGTATTTCAGAATCAGGCTACTCTAACGATCAACTTGCTCTTAATTACCTCAAGCACTTCATTAAATATACCAACAGGCGTAGGCGCGGCGTGTGGCAGCTGCTCATCTTTAATAGCCATAGATCTCACCTTACCTACGAATTTATCACAATGTGCTAGGATAACAAAATATGGCCATATAGCCTACCACCTTATAGCTCTTATATACTACAGCCTCTTGACGTAGTAGTATTTCAGCTATATAAATACTACCACAAGAAGCGCGTAGAGATAGCAGTGCGCACAGGCTGTGACGACTTCAACTATATTAAGTTTCTACACTATATCAAGGATATAAGGAAGGACGCCTTCAAGAGCTTAACTATCCGCTTAGCCTTCAAGAAGTCAGGCATCTGGCCACTTAACGCGTCAGTTGTGCTTGACAAGCTACCTACAATTAACAGTCGCGCGCGCGCTACTCCTCCGCCATCTGCTGCAGCGTCTGAGCTAGGGACTCCTCCTACGCCTACTACAGCTCTCCAGGTTGAGCTCTTCACGCGCAAGCACCTACAGGGCGTTGATCAGGAGACTGGAGAGTATGGCCTACTCCACAGTCGCGTTACAAAGCTCTCGCGTGGTGCAGTTGCAATTGCAGCAGCTAAGGAGAAATGCGAGGACGATTTAAAGGGCCTTACAGTTACTGCAAAGCAGCGCGCAAAGCGTCAACGCAAGGATAGCCGTCACGTACAAACAGGAGGGACTATCTATATATCAGACGCACGCCTTAGAGTAGCTACTAAAGACTCTATCCAGAAGAAAAAGGAGGAGAGAGCTGCTGCAAGGGCAGCCAAGAAGGCGCTCAAGGAAGCAGAAGCTCGAGAGGCCTCACCACCAACCTCCTCTAACGAATCTAACCCAGAGATATGAAGCTCAGCTCACTATTTCATAATCTGATATGGACTAAAATTAATAAAATTCACGTTTTGGGTGCTGCCCGCTACAAAATATTGAACTCCTTGGCAAAAGTTGCACTGAGCCTGGTGTTTGCATTGAGCCCGGTACCACCGAAGCTTAGTAGTGGGTGCCGCGAGCAGAGAGGCCTTCGGCTCCAAATCTAATAAGTATATAATAGCACAATTTTTCACAAACTTCTAATTCAGTCCTATGGTTTAGTGGTATAACGTTCGCTTCACATATCGGAGTGCGCGAAAGGTCCTGGGTTCGATCCCCAGTGGGACTAAAGTCTCGCATTTTCTTTTTGCATTTTGATGTGCTATGCTGTTCGCTTTTTTAAGGTGTTGAGATATAAGCCACTATTATGCAGTGCGCAAAGGGCCCATCTAATGTCTATAACGAGCATTGTGCGCAAAATCATGCAAGCTTTTCTTTCTTACTTTATTAGATCAAGACAAAGTTAAGCGTAGCAACAAATCTAGAAGCCTTAATGGGCATGTCGCAAGTAGAACTCATCATCAAAACGATTTCTATTCCTTACCTTATATTGAAACCTGAGCATCTATTTACCCATTATGCTTGATTTCATCACATTCATCGTTCTGGAGGACGTACTTCAAAAGACTAATGAATCACTATTCTTCCTTCGAAGAAAGATACCACACGGAGGAACGAGAAGTGCTATTTATTTGTATCACACGAACATTTTGCACTTATTATTGCAAGTACAACTTGACATTCCATACACACAAAGCCACGGACTCGATGGATCCATCCCATCCGCACGTGCACGCTCTTGGCGAGCCCAACGCGTGCCCCTGCCCCAACCTCGGCAACCCCCGGACCGACCATCCTCACACCACAATCACGCCTCTTCTTCAACGTCCGACGCCTAACATGATCCTAACCCACCGGCACATCCGCGTGCAGTTGCCGCGGGCACTCCCGCGTCTCAGCCTATTCAATTCCAGCTCTTGTGTGAAACCCATCAGCCTCAGCTCCACTCCAAACCATTCCCTTCCGTTTCCCGAGCTCGGAGGTAGCCTTGCGCTCCGCCGCTCGCTCTAACCGTGGTACATGCGCGGCCGAGAAAGCTGCTTAACGGCCGGGCACGGTGGTTTCTGCATAGGACCTAGGATAGCAGAGTATAGGACTGTAGGCTGGAAATTAAATGCGAGAATCTCTCGGAGGGGGATGGTGGTGCGGTCATGGGGTTTGGGGGTGTGATAGGTGGGTTGATGAGTTTGGGTGCGGGTGGGGTGAAGGTGGTCTTCTTGGCTCGTGATGGTGAGCTATGGCCAGATGAGGGGTAGGCACACACGACAGACACAGGTGGGGAGACTCGTCAGGCTCGGGGCTTGCTATTATACAAAGGTAGACGTCCGACGAGTCTTGCTCGACTTGACTCCGCAGGATCAGAAATTCGAAGTATTCGTCGTCACAAACAAATTCAAAGAGACCTACCTACCCTGCTGTTAGGTTAGCTTTACCCTACGCGACTACCAACACCAACACCTACTTCATCGAGATCACACAACCACAACAATTATCACAACACCCGATCAATACTCAATCCAAACCACCACCATGCCGCTAAACCTTCCACCTACATTCCGCCGCCAACCCTTTTCAACCGCCGCGCGCGTCTATCCCACCGTGCCCTCACGCTTCCACTCCTATCACCCGCCGGCCCCGCGCGCCCCCATCAACCCCGTTTCCGGCGTTCCCAAGCTCGGGCGAGTATCGCGGTGGTACTTACCTGCCATGGCATTCATCGCCGTTGGTATGCTCTACATTCCCTCAAACCCTTCCCATCTATTTGAAGAACCCACAGTATCCTCCTCCTCATCATCATCATCACCATCATCACAACCCCCGTCGAGTTACAGGACCAAGCGTCTGGACTCGGCTAATAGAACCCTAGGCATTGCAATCGCAAACGCCCTTGAAGAGTACAATATGCAGCACATGAGCGAGAAGGCGAGACTGCAGGCGCAGCAGGAGAGGAATGAGGCGTTGTTGGAGGCGTATGGAGAGCGGATGAGCTTGTCAGATGTAGAGAAGGCGTTGGAGGTGTATGAGGTGCAGTGAGAGTGCAAGAGATTGACCGCGGCTGGGGAAGACGTCAAGAGGAGGAATTTCTTTCGACGATGGGATCGTTCACTGGTCTGTTCTGCTTGATGCCAAAACTGTTATCTGGAGCCATGGGAGGGCGGGCAAGGGGGCTCTGGGTAGATAGTAGAGCTAGACCATGTGACGGCTCTGTCGTTGTAAGTTGAAAGGGACCTGTACGAAAAAGGAAAAGAATCGGCCGCGGGGGATGCGAAAAAGTCGAAAGGAGTTGTATGAATTGGGGGGTGGAATTGGTGTTTTGCTGCATTCGGAGGAATGGCAAGCTAACACACACGCTGCATATTGGTTTCGAGGAGTCTGGCGCCTACATCCAATTCGATCGATCGAATGACAAGTTTCCGGCCGGAACTTGTCCACGAAACATCATCATAAGCAAGCCACATGCGGCTCTGCGATTATTCCAGCAGGATTAAAGCCACCTGCGGCCTTATATTATTCCTGGGCGGGTCAGCATTTTTGGCGTTCGAGTGACGGGAAACTGCCGAAGTGACCGAAGCACCGGCCTGCGCATGCACGCAGCTTCTGGTATCAGTAGGCTTTCCTGTGTTATCCTTTAAATGGAACTGGCAGGGACTGGGATAGCCCCAGGTTTGTGGTACATAAGACCAAGTTGCTTTAGTAGCGAATATCATTGCATATCCCTAATCTTTGGCACTGATGGTTGCGGTCTAGATCTGTATCTTGGGCCGTCGTGGATGTCGAGTGGTGCATTTTCAGAATTCCTGTGCAGACGATGGTGTTCCTCAACGGTATGAAGGGAGAAGTACTCACCAGGGAAGCCTTTTACTTCATAAGCAGGAGCTGCATGGAAGATCTGCGAGGTTCACGAAGACAAGGCTTCATCGAGATCCAGACTCCTCCACACCCAAATTATCCCATGGTCCACCGCTTCAGAACGCAAGTTCCCTCCGGTGATGAACCACTTCCCTCTCCAACAAAATTCCCCAGAGCCCCAGATTGAAGTCTAATCCCTCGTCTCTCCACCTCGTGTCCCCACGACCCCAGATTCTCAGCTCCAGACCCTTCCCCAGAATCCAGTCACGCCCTCACGCGATCCCCGTCTCCGCATAGTTTCGCGAACGGAATATGCACATACGTACTTGTATGCAATGCGATCTGCCAGCAATCTAGATCTAATCGCGATGCGATCCGTGTTGAGAACGCCGTAAAAGTTACCAGAACCGGTAATCCGCATCCTCCAATTAAGATCACCTCGAGAGCTCCTCTAGAGCCCATCCACGCGTCGTCATATGTACGGAACCACGTACATTTTTCTGATAAAACCGCGCAGAAGGTCCAGGACGTGTCGTACGATCCATAACAGTAGGCGAGCGCGGTACTTGTGTGGAGTCTGGGCTGAGTACGAGATGGATGGTTCAATATGGCGACACCCGTGAGGTTTTCCCCTCCCGCTCCGCGCCCCGGTGATAAGCGTCAACGTCTCAGTTCATCACATCATGCGAGCGCCCGGCATAGCGTGAGCAGTCCCCCAAGAACCGAGCGTGTAGGGCGCGTCCACGCGTGCGGTGTCGTGCATGCATTCTGTACTCTATATGTGGCGTACTCAATCTCACGCCCGTATGCGTCTATGCATCAGAATTCAATGTGCATGATGTCGAATGAGGCGATATGAAAAACAACGTGGTGGCTGTGGTTGGGCGCTCAGATGCATTGCATGCCAAGCCTCGGATGCCGACTTCATGCTAAGCAACGTGGAAATACCGGCGGAAAAGAATGACGTTCTAGACCTCGGAGTAGATGCCGTGGATGATAACGTGAGGGAGCATGCGTCGGGAAGGGCTTCCGGAAGTCGCGGGCAGCGAGGGAGTGATGCAGGGGAAAGATACCGGGACGATGGAAGTTAAAGCAGGGGAGGAATACGAGGCGGTTGACGGATACTTGTGGGGCAGCGAACGCTCGCGAGGACCTTCCGAAGCCCGTCCGAAAATTTTGCGGTATGCATGGAAGCAGAAGGAGCGTCCACTGGGCATCAACAAACAATCCAGTGATGTTGCGTGGTAGAGTAAAGGGGTCCGTGGAGAATCGGTTGGGGAGGAACAGTCCTGGGCGAACATCAACAGTCGCCAACGTGGCAGTTGCAAATGCCCAACTTCACTTTGCGGCATTACTTTGTATAGTCCAAGAGAATGAGACTTGAAAGTTCTGCAGTTTTGCCCCGTGCAGCTACATTCTAGGGGCATAATGTAGTCGTGGTGTGTGAACGAGAGCCGCTTGGCGTGCAGGGACCGTCGAGAACGGACATCTGCAGGAGATGCTAAACCCACGGAAAGAAGGAAGAAAAGAAAGAAATGTACTGCCGGGAACGCGCATCTACACCAGATGCCGAGCCCAATAACAAAAGAAATACCTGCCAATATGCTGCCCTTACTATCATCACAGTCATTGTACATCCTGCAGTCTCCTGCGATGATAGCCCCACCCAAACTCCTCGCTGGAAAGGAAAGAAACACGAAAGGAAATGAAAGATTGGTCAGACTAGAGCTCCTCATTAACATATTCGGTCGATGACAATCTCAGCCCACTGCATCCCCGGGAACTCACGTCCGCGTTGAGCTATTCTTGGCTCCTCAGCGTCAAGATCCCACCTCATTATCCTTCACATGGAATCCTTCTTGATGGGGCAAGTCCAGCCCATGCCGGTAGGAGAGATGTCTGAGGCGGCACAGAGAGCCTTGCACTTGTCATCAAGCTCCCGGATGATGGCTTTCTTGCCGAGATACCATTGCTCGAACTCGACAATGTCGTCGCTCTTGACTGCACCGAGGCGCTTGCATTCGTACCACTCGGTGTCGACCTTGCGAGATGCATGGCGGAGTCGAGGAAGTGCTTCAGTGCGGAGTGTAGTAAGCTCGGTCACATAGTAGGCCTTGTGCGGCTCGAGCGGGAATGTGACGCGGCGCTCATGGTGACGCTTGCGACTGAACGTGTTTGCTTCCTCAGGCTGACGCTTTTGGATGATCGGGTCCACTTCCTCAGCCGGGGTCTCGGGGTTCAGGCACATGGGTGAGATGGGGCAGGTGGCCTGGGACTCGGAGACATACGGTAGGCCAGAAGTGGTTGGTGGATCAGACATGACTGGCGGAGGGGAATCGGACATGGACGGCGGTGGAGAATTTGACCTTGAAGACGAAG